GGTCTCAGTCCTGGTGATGGTACCCAGCCCTAGTCACCTGGACAGGCAGCGGGTCTCAGTCCTGGTGATGGTACTCAGTCCTACTCACCTGGTCAGACCCCACTGAACACCACAGGTGGGTGAGGCTGCACCTTCTGGGTGCCTCACAAAGGGGACGGGACTCTGACTCCCGTCCCTGGTGGGTGGACGGCGTCCCGGCCACAGCAGAGATGGTGTCTGTCCGTCCCTTGCTGGGCCGTGGGCTGCCTCCCCTGAGGCGGATGCAGGTCCTCCCGTGGTGTGGGCTGCAGTTCCCGGGAGCCTGCCGGAGCTCAGATCCCACGGCCTCCTGTGACCTCGGCCTCCCCGGGTGAAGGAGGGTGAGCAGGCTCCAGGGGCCTGCCTCCCATCGAGGCCCGGCCTCCAGAGTGCTGGGAACGGTTCTCGCACCAGGGCCCTGCTGTGCGGCGTCCCCACACCCTCATGGCGGGGCCAGTGGACAGAGAGGTGGCTGTGGCTCAGTGGTCATAGTCCCCAGGACTGAGGGAAAAGCCAGCAGCTGTGTTCCCTGCGAGCCCTGGGACAGGGGCCCGAGGTCCCGTGTGAGCAGGGCCATGTCCCGGAAAGGCTCGGGGGGTGTCACTGCCCGCCTCTCAGTCTGCCAGCCCCTGGGGCCCCCGCTCGTCCGGCCTGCTCACGGCCTCCTTCCGTGTCCACGGGCCCCTGCCTTTCTCCCAAGACAGTGTCCCCGCGAGACTTTAACTGAATCACATCTGCAAAGACCTGGTTCCAAACAAGGGCCATCACAAGGGACATGCCACTCGGGGGCACCCACACCGGGGACTCCATGCTAGGCCTGAGGGATCAGAGCGGGCGTGGGCCTTCCCAGAACCAGGTGACAGCCTGGGAGGGGTCTTCTGCCGGGTCCCCGACCCAGCTTCAGCCTCAGCATGGCAGGGGCGGGCTGGGGGTCCTTTCCCTGGGCCCTCGGTCCTCCCCTTGCCCAGCCCCCAAGGGGCCTAGGAGACAGGCCCCAGGAGCAGCCCTGGGGCCGGGACAGGGACAGGGAAGGGCGGTACGTGGAGCGCCAGCTCACCCCCTTCCTTGCAGGCCGCAGACTACGAGCTGAACAGGGCCTTCATGCTGACGGTGATGGTGTCCAACCAGGCGGCCCTGGCCAGCGGGATCCAGATGTCCTTCCAGTCCACGGCAGGGGTGACCATCTCGGTCACCGACATCAACGAGGCGCCCTACTTCCCGTCCAACCACAAGCTCATCCGCCTGGAGGAGGGCGTGCCGGCGGGCACCGCGCTCACCACCTTCTCCGCCGTGGACCCTGACCGCTTCATGCAGCAAGCCGTGAGGTGGGTCTGCAGCAGCCGCTGCCCCCCGGTCTCCTGTTTTCTACCCTAAGTCCCCAAGCCCAGGAGGGGGGGCTGGGGGAGCCCTGACCACGCGGGGCCACAGCAGCCCTGGGACCCTGACGCCCGCAGGCTCAGAGCAGCAGGCTCCTCCAGGGGGACGCTGGCCCAGGCAGGGGAGGCCTGGACGGCCGGGCCCAATCCTGGCTTCGTCCCCAGAAGCCATGTGACGGGGCGCCACTTACTCTGTCCCTCAGTGTCCCCACCTGGGGAGGAAGAGAGGGCCTGCCCCCTGGGGTCCTGAGGGGCCAGGCCGCCCACCGTAGCAGGAGCAGTGTGCCTGAGCTGCCCCCGTCCACCTGCTGCGGGTGGCCAGGCGCTCACAGCCCCCAGGCGACCCCCGGGGACACACGGGACGCAGGCTGGCGCAGGGCCCACCCCTGGGAGCCCCGCCGGCCCCCCTCAGCTCCCC